AAAGCTAAAACTCTGAAGATAGTCATATGAACAGGATAGCTAAGAGAAAGTATATGGCTGGATTTAAAAAGAGGCAGAACTCTAATAGCAAAACTCACAGAAGAAAAAAATTAATGACATCAGGCAACTAAAAAAATTACAAAAAACAGGGTGATAAAAAAAAAGAAAAGAAACCAAGACTGAACATGACAAGGCCAGTCACAAGAGAAACTAAAGGCAAATTAAAAATAGTTAGCCATTAATTTGGATTTTATATTGACAATGTTGGGACAGAATTGAATGTGTAACATGAAAATGTTGCAGAACCTGGGAGAGATAGTGGAAAATGCCTTCTTCAGACGCATGACACTAAACAGTCACCCTGCTTGGTTTTAATGCCAATCTTTCTAAAATCCACAATAGCTGTTTGTTTTTTTAGGTAGTTGATTTTCTTTTTATTTTCTCTTTCAGGTTTAACTGAAGGTGTCGGTGTGCTGCCGGATGGTCCTCTGAATGCAACTGTTAATGGGACGGTTATGTTCACTACATCACTGAGTCCAACACAAACACCGTTTACGTCTGTGAGCTGGACTTTTGGAGTGACAAATATAATAACCTCAAGTAGTGGCTCAAATATAATTCCACCAGAGTATGAAGACAGGATCACTCTGTTCCCATCTACTGGATCTCTGGAGCTCAGGAACCTGACTGAAGCTGACAGTGGAGAGTACAGTGTTCACATTTTACCAGCTGGTGAAGCCGCTTTGGTTGGGCGAACCACACTGAATATATATGGTGAGTACGTGTTGATTTTCAGATGCAAAGAATTATTTTTTTCTTTTCAAAATTGTAAAACATTCATTTAAAAAATCAAACAAACAAAAATAGTAGCTACACAATATTATGATAGAATACATAGACATTTTAATGAAGTTTATTTGTGACTTCATCTCTTCTCCTCTGTAAAATTATACCGTATAAATTATAGGTGTTATTTTCCAGTCTCAGGAATAAAATGTCTTACAAATTCTACATCATGTCTGAAATATAAATAGTTTCACTTGGCTGCATGTAATAGATCTGCCATGTTATTGCTGTTATTAGCTGCAACAGTCTTTGAACAAATCCTGCTCTTACAGATTTATTCCATTTTACTGATTGTCAGATTGTATGAGAAAGCTGTTTAAAAACTCTTTCACGAAACATTCTGTAGTGATATTCAACTGTGTTAGTTCTCAGGTTAGACCCGACACCACCACAGAGAAGAGAATCTAATATAGTTAAATTGTTGCCTCTCAAACATGGTGTGAAGAACAACTGCAAGTAACTTGATAGTTTTTTATACATGAACTCTGTTGAGTCACTTCAAGCGACAACTGGACAGTAGACACATGACAGCACTGCAGTAATTAAAGTTAATTGTTATGACCAGTGTTGTACAAAGGCTAGTTTCAGGATTTTAATTGCTCTCATTTTATTTGTTCTATGGATCACTGTCATGAAACCTTTTTAGACTCAGTAGAAGCAAATAGAGACATTTAATTTTTTTTAAATGGAATTCCTTTCTGATCATTGTGGTGTTTGTCTGCTTGTTTGTGAAATGATGAACAGTGTAAAACCATTTTGTTCTTCACCCACAGAGCCAGTCTCCAGTGTAACAGTAGATCCCAAAAGTGCAGACTTGGTTGAATTCAACGATTCTGTCAGTCTGTCCTGCACCTCCTTTGGATCCCCCACCTCTTTCCTCTGGCTGAATGACACCTCTGAGGTTACAGCCAGTGACAGAGTTCAGTTCACTGATGGAGGATCCGTGATGACGATAGTCAACGTGACTCGCTTTGATCAGCAACAGCTCAGGTGTCGTGCGTCCAATCCTGTCAGTCATGCCACCAGTGAGCCTGTACCCATCTCTGTCAGCTGTGAGTTATTTATCTACATGTTCAGTGTCTGACATCTGCATGCAAACATCAGAGATAGTTTAGATTATTCACAGAGTTTAATGGAAAGTTTTAAAACATTTTTTCTTTTTTTTACTTGTTTGGATTCAGTACAACACCATCAGAAACTACATCATCCATTTTTTTTTTCTTTAATGATAGATTGATAGATTCAAGGTATCCAGCAGCTCACACATGTTACACACAATAGATAGAGGAACCATGTAGAAAAGAGCAGTTGAGGTGCAAATCGTGCTGGAAACAGGAAGAAGGTGCCTAAAACAATGCTGGTATTTATATAGATGTGCAAAAATGGTTAGTATCTACAATAAGGTGCAAATTGGTGGTACAGTGCTGCTTGTTCATCATCAGGTTGAAATTATGACTATATCTGGGATATTCTAATAAGCAGCCTTCATAGAGCACTGAGAAAACTGTGTCTGTGTGACAAAAGACGGGAGTTTATATGTAAAGCCAAAATGGGAACGTTTGAACAAGGTCCAAGGGACAGTTTCTTTGGAGATCAAGAAATGTTGATTCAAACAGAACTTTTGGTTTTGCTTCAGTGAAATTTCACCTTTGTCGGTACGAAAAGCCTCCCCGTCAATAAAAGTTACTTCCTTTAATCAGTAGGTATACACAGGAATAACTTATTGTGATTAACTAGCTGAGCAGTTCAATGAGTGACGACATGCTCTGCAACGATACGATTCTCTTCGATGTGTCCTAATTAATGTCAGACAGTGTGTGAATAACTCAGTGATCAGATCTCAGGTGAGCAGGTAATTGACAAACAAACACACACATTGCCTTCCATGGCTGACCGGGGTGTGATGATCTGCCACGCATGAACGACATTCGGCCAACCATGACTTTAAACAGGCAAAAGTTATTCCTAGAATCGATTTCGGGGAATTTCGTCATGACAAAAACCAGGATTATGACATTATTCTATGACAATAAACAGGCTGTTTTACTATAAGTTATACAGGAAATGATTCATGACTTTGATATTTTATGATTATAAATGGGATATTTTATAAAGCGGTACAACATTAAGTGGGCAGCACTGTATTTACAATGTAATACAAAAAACATAGTATGATAGAGTCCACGGTGCAATGTGACAACATGTAGGTAACTGTCATTATAATAATGAGTATATAGGTGCATGGGTCCTGGTGGGTCCAGGGTAACTGCTTTATTGCACGGTTGAATCTAGTGATTGAAATGCAGCAGCCAACAGTTCAGGCCCCAACAGACCACAACATAGAAAAGGACACTGGCCACCACTGACTGGTAGAACATATGCAGCATTTCACTGCGTACATCGAAGGATCTCAATCGTCTGAGGAAGGACAGCCAACTCTACCCCCTCCAGTACCGGGCTTCTATGTTTTGGACCAGTCCAGTTTGTTGTCAAAGTGCAAACCCAGATATTTGTAGGTTTGCACAAGTACGATGTCCTCTCCTGTGATACTGACAGGCTGCAGCAGGGGCTTAGACTTGAGGAAGTCCATGATCATGTGTTTGGTCTTTGAGATGTTCAGCAGGAGGCAGTTATGAGCAGTCCAGTCAGTGAAGGCCGTCATCAGGCTTCTGTACTCACCTTCCTGCCCATTATTGATACACACTACAATAGCTGCATCATCAGCTTATATCATATTACATTGTACAGTTTTTTATGCACTTTTTTCTGGTGACTTGTTGTACAGTGATGTATTAGTGTATACTGGACAGGTTCAGACTTCACATATGTTGTATGCAATTTAGTTTTTCCATCTACTAACATTACTTCTTTGTGTTGTTTCCTTCAGTTGGCCCAGAAAATACCAACTTGATGCTCTCACCACAAGAAGAAAACTTTGCAGTCGGGTCAAACATCCGCCTGGTCTGCTCAGCTGAGTCTCGACCTGATGCCCAGTTTATGTGGTTTCTGGATGGAGACAAGCTGGATCACACAGAACGAGAGCTCAGCTTGACAAACATTCAGATGAACCAGGCTGGAAACTACAGCTGTCAGACCTTCAATGTCAAAACTCTGAGATATCAAACATCTCAACCTGCAGCCATATCTGTAATGGGTAAGTGTGAACAAAGCTTTTGTTTAAAGAAATACAGTTTAAAAAGATGTGATTTAGGCTTTTATTCATGATACTCGTCAGGTGAAAAAACAATTGTAATAAGCATTTGTGGAAAATTGACTTCATCGACCCGACATACATCTGCCATTTTTGTTCAAACAGAGATTTCCAAGATGCCTCACAAAAAAAAACTAAAAAAAAGTTTGAGGCCATACAAAGTGCCTTTCTGAAGCAAAAATTGACACTAACAGACTGATGCCCAAATTGTAAACAATCACATCATTTCTGGGCAAATCAATTTTTTAATTTAGCAAAAAAAACAAAAATCTTAATGCAAATTTCGTCTGATATATTCCTACCTGCATCTCACACTATTTACAGAGATTGGTCATAACGTTTCCATTCAGTCAAAATATCAGGCTGCAATTTTAGCTCTGAGATTTATTTTACGGGCTGCAAGGTGGTTACCACCATCGCCTCGCAGCTAGAACGTCGCCGGTTCTGTGTGGAGTTTGCATGTTCTCCCCGTGCAGC